TTTTTTTTCTGGAAAAAGTGCCAGAGTTTGTTCACGCTTGAAATTATTTTTTCGAGGATGAAATTTTTTTTAAGGTTACTTGAATTTCAGTTGCCACGTAAAAAATCCAACCTTGAAAGTAATTGATAAAACAAAATAGTTGGAAATTTGTTGCAGCTTTACAGCTTATTGATAACATTTGCTTTGACATCGAATAGTTATAAGTTAACACATTTTATTTCATCAAGTGAACCGAAAAAAGCTACTTGTTTCAAACAACATAAGAATCATAATATTTTGATTTCAGAGTTTTTCTAACTCAATATATCACGTAATTTTTTGAAATGCATAATTTGTACAAATTGTGTCTTAATGATATGCGTTTTTTGTACATGCAAAATTGTATCTTTTTGTATTTGGTGCTACTTATGCTGCATCAAATTGGTAATTCCTTAGCATATGTAGCTGCGTTATTGGTGGCTAGTTTTTGAGGATTTTAAGCATCCGTGGCGGAATGGTTAGTGCGTGAGACTCAAATTTGCTAGCTCGCAGATTTTTGCTACGCCTCGAGTTTTAGCAAATTTGAGGCTTATTTCTTCTTATGTCATTTGATAGCGCTGCTTTTTGGTCGTGTTCTCGCAAGTGTTTGCAAAGCTCAGCTTCGCGTTTGTGTATATTTTTGTTTGTTTCGGTTTCTTTTCAAAAAAAAATTGTTTCTTTCCGTTTGTTTGAACTCATATGTTCAACCGTGATTGTTTTGCGAATGGAGAATCGTTGATAAAAATTCATGATATCCGAGATTAAATTTCGTCAGATACTGTGCCTTAGAATCAGATAAATGATTGGAATGTTTTTAAGAGCAAGGAACGTAGTGAAAACCCTTATATAAGTCGTGCTGATTTTTTTGTTTTTTTTTCGGGAAAAAATCTTAAAATGTGCATAAAAGTATCTAATAACTACAGATGTGCATTCATACATTTATGAATGCACTTAGGTATATATGCAATTTTTGAGTTCATTTGAAATTGATCTGCTGAAAGCGACACAAATAGCACTCTCCAAATACGAACGTGGAAATGGGGCAAAAAAAAAAACGAACATTTTCTAGTTTTGAAAGTGGAATTCAGTTTTTAGTTTTCTAGCGGAATAAAAACTTTGCCTGTTGATGCAGTTTTCTCAAGTTGGGATACTTATCAAGAAAGCGCCAATCATAAATCGTTCTACAAACTCAAACAGCTTAAAGGGCATCTATTTTTTTCTTTGAAATTCGAAAGTTGATATTTTTCAAGAAAGTCAGTGTTTTTTATGTTAACCTGCTTTCTTTTTTCTTTTTCAACCTTGGATTGGCTATGATGGTCAATATGTGAATTATGAAGCGTCGTGGGCAGCCCCCGTCATTTTTAATAGCATGTGTTTTATTTTTATAGGATGTATTTTATCGGCTTATTAGAGAGAGATAGAGCCTGGTATTAGATGAAGTGTAAAGGGAGTTAGTTGGCTCCGTCAGAAAGACAAAGGGTTCATAATCACAAGGTTTCGAATCATGTAGTCTAACTTTATTTTTGCTGCTTCAAACCTCCCTTTTGCCATTTTGTAGCTTATTTTTTGAAGTGCTGCATTCTCGCTGTATTTTTGGTTTTCTTCTATTTGCGGAAAAGTTGAGCATATTTGTTCACCCCATTGAGCGCGGATTAAGTTTTTGTATTTGTGTTATGTAACTTAAATAATTTCTGTTGAATTTCCAATCTGGTGAATTTTAAACTCTCATAACCTTCGTAAATTGTTATCGCATTATATTTTTGATCTGAGCTCTGGGCAAGGCAATCTTCGTTTTGAAGATTTGTCGTGATGAATTTCCTCGTTGAGAGCAATCTGGCCCTTGGCGAGTCTATTTTTATTCTTTTTAGTCGCTTTGGAGGAAATACTTTGGGGATAATTAAATCTTCTGATCAGTCCGTTTCCTTGAAAACAAAAATTTTTTGAAAGAACATTTTTTCGCATTGAGGGTCATTATGTGTTTAATTGAAGATCCTTAGGATGTTATTTAATCACTTTATTCACTCTGAATGTGCGATTGTTTTCCTGCATTAAAGGTTGTTTTAACGACGAGATTAAAAAGAGAAAGTTGTTTGTTTTTAGGCAGAGTCGATGTACAAGAAAGCATACATTTGCGACCCACATAACTCTCACGCAGTCTCTCTAATCAAGAGAACTGACCCACAAGTGCAGGAAATATACTCTGCAATCTACCAGAGAATAGATAGAAAACGAGACATCATAGCCCAAGTTCCACATAGGTACCCCATCACTAAATCGAACTGTCACTTAATTATCTGATCAGAAAACCGAATTGTATAACAATCAAGTATCAAGTATTTGGAGGTTTAAAAAAATTTGAATAATAATTACTATTTTACTCTGTAAGATTCTGCGAAAGAACCATATATTCTTATTTTTGTTCCAAAATCAAGTTATAAGTCTGAGTCTTGAACACATGTAATGATATCATCGGGTTATGCAACAATTTCGCGTTTTCGGTTTACTGAACTAACAAGCCCGTTTTTGGATTGTGAAATATGGATTTACCGACCGAACACTGCTTTTTAGTGACCCAAAACTGCGACGCGCAATGCGAGAGACCTACTATCTTCACATTTACCACACGAATGCAATCGAAGGAAACAGCATGTCTTTACTGCAGACAAGGTCGATCATAGAAACCGGTTATGTAGTTCCTGGAAAAACTGTAAAAGAACACACAGAAGTGCTCGGTTTACATGATGCTCTGGGCTTTATTAACTCTACACTAGTTAATAAACATGGTCCAATAACTATGGAAGATTTACTTAGTATTCATAAACGTGTAATGGGTTACACCGACCCACATATTGCAGGAGCGTTTCGAAATCATCAAGTATATATAGCTAATCACATACCACCTGCGCCTGGACTTATAGAACAAGAAATGGACAATTTTTTCCTCTGGCTCAAATCGGAAAGTATTTTGAAATTGCATCCAATAGAGCTAGCTGGTTTGGCTCATTACTGGCTTGTACATATCCATCCTTTTGTAGACGGAAATGGAAGAACGGCGAGGTTGCTGATGAATTTGATTTTAATGCAATCGGGATTCCCGCCTGTAACGATCAGCTTTTCGGATAGATTAGCATACTATGAATTTCTTCAGCTCGGAAATGAGGGTGATATTCGACCTTTCCTGAGGTTCGTGGCAAGTTGCACGGAGAGATCCCTAGATGCGTATTTAGAAGTAACAGGAAAGCATATTTTACCTGTTGACGAAAATGATCGAGATGATCATGAAAGTCGAAAAATGAGAATTGAATCGCTGTTTGAAAACGCTATTCCATTGTCGTATGAAATTGACAGAGTCGATGGCTCAAACGAAGAGAATTTGACGGTAAATATTGATTCAGCTGGCGAGATTAAACACGATAATAGCGTCGATAATGTCAAATTTGGACCATCAGAAATGAGGTCAAATAACCCGCTAGAGAGCGAACCCAAATGTCCTTTTGAGGATGAGTTCTGCAAATAAATCAAACCGCTAGGCTGTGCTTTGAAATATATGTGAAGTTGTACCAAGTTAACAAATTATATCTCGTTTGGACGGTCATTTGTCCTCGGTGGATAGTTAGAAATAGTTTTGATAGATTAGAAATTCATGAATTGATCAATGGAAGGGTGTTTTAAAAAAGCCAAATTTAAAATTTATGTGATGTCTGTCTATCTTATCTTGATCTTTTGAGATAGTTTTAAAACGAAGAGGTCAGTCATAAAAGGTAGAGGTTAGTTTTAGTGTAGAGATGAGTTACAATTTTGTTTAACGTTTTTATGTTGCAACTGAAGGCATGATGAAATTGCATCTCTGAGCTATTGTTTCATATTGCAGCAAAAAGATCTTAAACGAAGTTTTTTAGCGCGGCTCAAATGTTCGGTAAATAGCGTTGTATCCATCTATAAAAAATGTAAAATTTAAAAAATAATTTGATTTGTCGGTCTTACGTTTGCTTGATTTCATAATTCCGTTTTGTGATAGAGTTAAGTACTAACTTACGAACTATTTTGACACGAGAGCAGCTTGTGGTGTATTACGAGACGGTCTTTTTTCCAACGCAAGTCCGCTATTTTTCCGTTAAGCTTTTGTACAAATTATACGTTCTTTAACTCAATATCTGCTCCATTGAAGCTCAATCATTTCTGTCTGTCTTTATTATCCAAGCATGTGAGCATCGAATTTAAACAGTTGTAGTAACGAGTGCATGTGCTGCAGCAGACTTGGGTTGAAAAATCCTAGTATCAGCTGTTATTTTGTTTTCTTGAGTGAAGTTAATTTGCTTAAATTTTGATCCTGGTGTTTTGTGCTATTTTGAAATATTTCAATTTTTTGAGAGTTAGCTTTTGAATTCTGCTCGTTAATTTCGAGTTTTTTCGCTAAATGAACTAGTAATAACCAACAGCAAAAACACAATTGATTGAAACCATAATTTTGGTTCAATTTTCTTAAAGTGGGTTAGCTTTATCAAAAAGTGTCAAGCGTAGTGCTGATTTAAGTTGAAACGAACAACATTGAAATTTCAAACGCGTTTTTCTCAAATTGGGTTTAAATAGACAAAAAAACGAAAAGAACAAAAGTTGCTTGGAATTTCATCAGCATTATTATGGTGCAATTTTTTCTCCGAAATTCCGAACCAAAATTATATCCCAAAAATGGGTCATTTTGGCAGTTTTTTAATTAATCAAGAATTACTCTGAGATTTTTTGTTAATAGATGAGAGAATAATATCACAACAAGCCTCTTAAACAGCCCAACAAAGTCCTAGAAGCGTTAAATATCAAAAAACCTGTAAAAGAGAATATTTTGCTTGATAGTCAAATATGATTTTATAAAACTCAAAATCTTTGCTTAAAAAACAAACTTTAAACAATTTGCGCAAAACTTTTGAGATGTAATCCTTCTAGAACTTTGTGATGTGTAAGTGGCTTGTTGTGATTTAATTTTCTCATCTAGTAATAAATTAGTTTCAGCGTAATTCTTGATGATTTAGAAAAAAGCCGAAATGACCAATTTTTGGGTACAGTTTTGGTTGAGAATTTCGTAGAAAAAATTGCACCATATTAATTCAGATGAAATTTTAAGCAACTCTTATTCCATTCTATTTTTGTCTAATCTTAAAAACAAGTCTGAGAAAAACGCGTTTGAAAATTCAATTTTTTTTCGTTTTGTAAGGATAATTTTAATCAGCACTGTAAAAGGTTTTTGAAATGTAATAATCACTTAGGCGATAAATTGCTTCTCTGAGAAATCAAATTGAAAGGTGTTAAACAAAGTCATTCAAATTTAAAATGTCTTAAAATTTGTTCATGCTCAATTTTGATTGTTGGCTGTTTGATTTGTGATTTATTTATAAGTTCAGTGCATTTCTATTGTTAAAAGGAAGGCAAACTCCACTATCGGACAGCAAAGTAGTAAAGGTCGCGAAAAACGTGATCGACTTCTAATTTTAAAAACGGAATTTAATTATCAGATTTCCCAGCGAAATAAAAGTTTCACCTATTGATCCAGTTTTCTCAAATTTGGTAAATTTTCACAAAAAAGTGTCCATCATAAATTGTTTTACAAATTCAAAGAGCTTAAAGGCTATGTAAGTTTTTAATTCGAAATTCAAAATTTGAAGGTTTTTGAAAAAACAAGTGCATTCATTGCTCTCTTCCAACTCAGTTGGCTATGTTTTTTTGGGTTACCCAGTGTAATTACACTTGCGAAGCGAAATGTATTAGTACGAACTTTCTTTTTTTTGCAACCTAAGTCGCAAATAAAAGGGCTACTTTTGGTTGCACTTTTGAATCGGTCGCCTCGGTAGCAGGATGTTATCATATGTTATTGGACATTTGATTTGTGAAAAGTTATAGCAGCTGAGTTATAAAGTTATTTGTTTCAAACAGCAGAACAATGATAAAAAGCTCAATTTCACAAAACGCAATGTATCTCGCATTTTTTTTTAAATGCATAATTTATACAAAATTTAGCTATATGCTTTCCAATTTATTACATGATGGCAATTTATTAGCATATGTAGCTGCGTTATTGGTGGCTGAGTGGTTACTACGTGAGACTCAAATTAGCTAGATCGCAGATTGGTATCCGACACGTAGCCGAATTTTCGCTACTTTGAGTCCTATTTTTACTTTTTCTTATTTCACTTGATAGAGCTGCATTTTGGTCATGTTCTCGCAAATGTTTGCGAAGCGCAGCTTCTCTTCTGTGTAAAAACGTCTCTGCTAACCCATGTTTTTATAATTGGGTTAGTTTTATCTATAAAATATTAGTCGTACAAGATTTTTTGTTTAATTATTTTTTTATACTCTTTCGACCATCTGTTGGCTATGTTTTAAACTCTCTGGGCTAAGTTTTAGCTTTTTTTAATCACCACAATTCGGCGAGGGTTGGACAATGTCATCCGCCTCCTCAAGGTGGGCCCGGCTGCGGCAAAATTGATGACACCAACCTCCCCCTCGTTTGGTCCTGCATTGAGCAGGACCAGGGGTTAGATCAAAATGATTCTCTGGGCTAAGTTTTAGCTTTTTTTAAATCAAACCCATCTTTTGTTGTAATCTGATGGGATTTTTCCACCGCTCACATCCCCTTATTTTTTCCAACTCTCACTCGGTTTTTTAAGAAAATTGTGTACTGAGTTTTTTAACGCAGTGCCATTGGCCAGTGTTAGCAAATTGTTAATAATGATTTTTTTCGGGATAACAACTAGTTGAACAAAATCACTAGTTGAATCATTTTTGCGGTTATTATTTGTGAAGAATTAAACTCTGCAGCTGACATGCTCAATTTCATTAAAATTCAAATGTAGCTACTGGATACAAAATTAAAAGACAGCTAAGGGCCTATATTCAAATCCGGCCAGGATCTGTTTTCTAAACTGAAAAAATTGAGTATCTAAAAACTTATTGGCCTATAGATTGACTGCTTATGTTTTGTTTGCCTACTTTCTACATTTCCTTTTCGTGTGCTGTAAGCTATTTTTGTTGTAATTAGAAGCGTTATTTATACCTTTGTTTTATTTGTAAGTTAAATGACTTTGTATAATTTTTTGTTTAAAGGTTTTATTCGACCTAAATGGTTTTCGGCTTGGTTGTTAAATTTTCCGTCTTCTGAAGATAAAAACTTTTCATCAAATTGTTTGTTTCCGGAAGGAGAAGGCCGTAAAATTTTAATGCACTAAATTTTTCATGTTTAACCTGTGTTTTAGACGCAACGGGCTTTTACCCAAGTGTTGTCGGCTTAGTTCCTGCTCGATATTTGTTTGAATACTTACCTCATGCCGGCAGTCTTCATTCTATTTACGCCCTGGGTCCTTGTAAGTTGGAGTTTCTGTTGCAACATTTTTTGTGTCGTGCCTTGTTATTGCTCGTGATCTCTTTTTATTTGAAATCGAAATTCTTTTCTCGCGCTCTTTTCAATGTATCTATTCGCTTCGGTCGCTATTTTCTCATTTTTGGATTACTTGTTGCATGCTCTGGAATGATTCGTCATATTGAGACTCTTTCAAACTGATCTCGCAGCTGAGGCATTTGAAATGGTCGCTTGTTTTTGATGCTTTCTTCGGTGTTCTTACCTACAACGGAATGGACGACCTTTTTCTCTTTTTGCTTATGTCCTTTGGAGAGGGATTTCTGTCCTTTCGCCATTGACCATTGAACACACCCACTCTTCCATTAGATACTTCCTTTTGTGTAGCCAGCTTTTTCTTCCTTCCAGTGAAGCCCCGCTTCATTGATTAGTTTTTGCAAGTAGGCAATTATGCTGTTCAATGACTTTGCCTCGTCTTCTTTTTCTTGAGGCCATCATGGAAGAAGTTTCAACATCGCTATCGAACAAAAAACTAACTGTTCAGAATACGTTTTTAGACCTCACAAAGGCTTTTGACACAGTTGATCACTCTAATCTGTTAATAAAATTGAAACGAATGGGATTCTGAGGGCCTGTCTTAAATCTATTGGAATCTTACCTTGACAATCGCTATCAGTACATTGAAACTAACTCTTTTAAGACCGAACTTAAACTGGTATCTTTTGGTGTACCTCAAGGATCTATCCTTGGCCCACTTTTGTTCATATTATACATAAACGATCTACAAATAGCCACAAAAAACACAGGGGTACTTTTGTATGCTGATGCCACTGTTCTGAAACACAAACAACAAAGACTATATCGCTTTTGCACATAGATCAGCTTTGCTTGAAGTAAATGATTGGTTAGACAAGAACAAATTGACACTGTCAAGACCATGAGATACTGTCGGAGCACGAAAACTGAAGAACGACCAGTAAATTGTTTTTTAATGACACCCAAATAGAAGATGTTGAATGTTTTAAATATCGTGGAATTCTCCTTGACTGTAAACTGAATTTTCATCAGCAAATTGATAAGGTAAAGAACAAAATTTTGCAATTCTGTGGAGTTTTTTTTCAATTGAGAAAATTTCTAACTGGACAGCAATTAATATTTGCGTATAAAAGTTACGTGCCACCAATCATCCAATATGGAGTTTTAGTTTATGCAACTACCGACAAAACCAAACTGTTAGAACTGGAAATGAAAATCAGAAGGCTAATCAGAATAATTTTTTTATAAACACAGGATGGATTCAATCACTGAAATAATGCATGATAATAAAATATATACCCTAAGAGAATTTTTTGCTTACAAATTTCTGAAATTAACCGGAAAAATTATTCGAAAAGAGTGCCAAGTTGAAACCTTGAGATATTCTATTACTGAACA